TTGGGGTGACTGATTAACATGGTGGGAACCTGCCAGCTGGGAGAATAAGCTCTGCCATGAGAACGGGCAGGACTGGATTCTGGGAGAGGTCCTGGAAGTGAATAATGTGCAATGCAGCTTACAAAACCTTTACATTGGCCTGGAACTCAGGTACTTTCGTCCTCTGGATGTTCCAAAGTATGAGGTTCAAACTCAGGCTCTGCTTTCAGGTCTCTCCAGGGCCATTCTGCTGAACAGAGAGTTAGCAAGGCCTTCCCCGTTTGCGGGCTTTCTCGCGTGGCATGCCGTTAGACCTTGAGCTAAAAGCTTTCGTGTGCGCGTTCTCAGGAGGCCACTCCCTGTCTGTGAACACTTCAGTATTGGATGAGGCTGGAACTTTGGCTGAAGGATTTCCCATACTCGCCACACTCGTATGGTCTTGCTCCTCCCATGAACTCTCTGGTGTTGGCCGAGAGTGGATTTTTGGCTAAAGAATTCCCCACCGTCGTGAGGCCCTTTCCCAGGGCATATTCTCCAGAATTAAATGAGGGTGAAGCCAAAGAATTGGTCACCAAATTCACTCTGGTGTGGCTCCTGTGCATTCTCTCATGTTGTGCAAGGATGGTGATGTGGCTGAAGGATTTCCCACACTGGCCACAGATGTACAGGCTTACTCCAGCGTGGCTTCTCCAGTGCTTATTAAGACCGGAGTTGTGGCTAAAGCATTTCCCACACTCCCCACACTCATAAGGCCTTTCTCCGGTGTGAACTGTCTGATGTTGCCGGAGAGCAGAACTTTGCCTAAAGCATTTTCCACACTTGCTGCACGCATAAGGCTTTTCTCCAGTATGGACTCGCCGGTGTTGGATGAGGCCAGAACTTTGACTGAAGGGTTTGCCACATTCGTCGCACACGTAAGGTTTCACTCCAATGTGACTCCGCTGGTGTTGAATGAGTCCAGATCTTTGGCGGAAGGATTTTTCACACTCATTGCACTTATAAGGCCGGTCGCCAGTGTGCGATCTCCGGTGCTGACTGAGAGTGGAACTACGGCTAAAGAATTTGCCACACTCACTGCACTCATAAGGCCTTTCTCCAGTGTGCACTCTACGGTGTTGAATGAGTGTGGAGTTTTCACTAAAGGTTTTCCCGCACTCCAAACACTCATAGGGCTTTGCTCCTGTGTGGAGTCTCTGGTGCTGAACGAGGCTGCAGCTTCGAAGAAAGGCTTTGCCGCACTCACTGCACGCATACGTCTTCCCACCCGTGTGGATTCTCTGGTGTCTACTAAGGGAGGAGTGGTGGGTAAAGGATTTCCCACATTCACCACAGATGTAGGGCCTTTCTCCTGTGTGAATTTTCTGGTGTCTGCTCACAGAGGAGTGGTGGGTGAAGGTTTTCCCACATTCACCACACATATAGATCCTTTTCTTATTGTGCATTTGCTGCTGCTGCTGCTGAGCCCGTCTGTAATGGTAGCTGGGGGCTTTCCTGCATTGACTATCCTCACAGAGCCCCTCTCCAGCGCAGACACTCTGGTGGTGAGCAAGGGTGTGGCCCTGGCTTGAAGCTTTCCCAGGCTCACCACTCTTGTAATGACTTTTTCTGCCGAAAAAGGGCGCGCCGTGCACAGTGTGACCACCTGCCTTCTCGCTGTGAGCAGCGGGTCGGTGCTGGCGAAAGACCGATGGGACTGGGTACGCCTTCCCAATCTCAGACACAATGTCTTTAAAGACCGGGGCACACATATCCCAGGGGCGAGTCTTCTGAGCGGACAGACCTGTCTGTGGAGTCCTTGCGTGGGACACTCCCATAGAGACACGCTGCCCAGAAGCTGTCTCCTCCTCCACTTCATTCCAGTGGCCTGAAAGCAGAAAAAGGCTGGTAAATATATGTTGACCTCGGTGGGCAGGGAGAGCCCCCCATTAAGAATGTGTGCCAGTCACGTCAAGAAACGGGTCCATGGAATTGGTCTGCGCATGAGCAGCCGGAGGCACGTTCAGGGAGAGGCTCCAGCAGTCCTAGTAATCGAACTATGACGAAGCACGGAAGGCCTCAGCAGACAAAGGGCAAGATACAGCAGTGCGGTCCAGGAAGAAGCAAGGTCTCTATCTCCCTCCTCCACCATCAGCCTCAAGAGAGGATCTTGGCTGCTGGTGCCACGTGAGAGCGATATTGAAGGCTGGTTGTGTCCAGGCCCAGGGAAATCCCACTGGACTTGAGTAGCAATTGTTGAAGGATATGGGCACCACTCAAGACACGTGATGTTTGGGTTGTTGTTGAAGAATACGGGATAGGGAGTAGTAAAGAAGCTGGAAAGGCAGGGCAGCCAAAGCCTGGGAGTCTCGTTTGAAATGACAAGACAGTAAAGTGTGGAGTGACAAGAAAATATAGAAATGAGGTGTGGCCAGTGGCATCTACAGCAAAGCAGTGGTGAACATAGGACAAGAGTCCTGTATGACTTAAGCAAAGACATGCAATTGGGTGGCCACAAGAAGAGGATTCAGTGGACTCTGTTCTCATAATTTGTCATTCCGTGATGCTCACCTTCCAGACAC